AAATAGAGAATAAATGCGAAGTATCTCGCATTTGAAATAAAATTGAATATAAATACATAAGGACATAGATCAATTATATAAATCTATTTCACTTATTTTCAATTGGTTTTGTATTATAAAATCATGAAACTTGAGGATATATATGTGTGACAGAGAGGTGGCACTTGAGTTCTTGAAATCGTCGATAAAAATGGTGAAAAGGGTAGTTGAAATTCTGATGGAGAATGTAGGAGTGACACTAGAAGAGGAAAGAATGAATGGTTTGATGGGGACCAAGATGGTCAACATGAACTACTACCCAACCTGTCCCAGCCCCGAGCTGACCATCGGCGTGGGTCGTCACTCCGACATGGGAATGTTGACCGTTTTATTGCAAGACGGCATTGGTGGTCTCTACGTTAAACTAGACAACGGTGAATGGGCCGAGATCCCTCCTATCAACGGAGCTTTGGTCATTAATGTCGGCGACACCTTGCAGGTTAATATATAGATCGATTCTATATATCATATATGTTACATTTACCGTGATATTCTTATACATTAATATATAAAAATTGATCAATAGATTCTAAGCAATGGCAAGTACAAAAGTGCTGAGCATAGGGTTCGAACCACAAACATCAGCTCGAGAGTCTCTGTGCCCATTTTCACGGCACCTAACCCCTCCGAGAAAATCGGTCCGTTGCCGGAAGTTGTGAAGCGCGACGGAGTGGCTCGTTACAAGGAGTTGTTGTTTCAAGACTACATGAATAACTTCTTCGGCCAACCACACGACGGCAAAAAATCTCTTGATTTCGCACGTGCCGATTGATACTATCAATCTATCTGTTGCCACGTACCAAGCCAACTACGATACGCGACGAAGTTTCCTTTTATCTTTTTTTCTTTGTTAAATAAAGAGTTTTTCCTTTTTATCTTTGTTCGATTCCAATGTATCTTAGCAAGTAATGCCTTCTTCATGATCTGAGTAAACTTTATGGAAATTTCATGCATACTTAGGTTGAATGGTTGGGTTTTTTTTCTACAAAAATTTCCAAGTGCTAGAGTGACCTAACTAATTGTGTTTCCGCAATGATTTTCTTTTTGTCTTTTTTCAAAAAAAAATTGATTTTCTTTTTGTCAATTTCTGGAAAGATTTCCA